CGAGACTGTAATTTACAGACGACACTTTAGCGAAACTTAAGTGACCTTGAGAAATTTTAGCCAATCAGTAGACACTCGGACTAGAGTAAAAATATATTATACAAAGTTAGGATGAATACATTCCTTACATAAGGTTTAAAAACTTTTCAAGTTTAAAAAAAGGCTATGCAGTTTTGAAATTGTTGTGTGTACTATACATGAATTCATCCATATGACTCAATAATAATCGACTTCTGGAGCCATGATAAGGTTGCAAAAATTCCTTTAGCTTCGACCACACTGTTTCTGTGTTATTTGTGTGTACTCCGGTGGTCGGGTCTGCAAAATGCCGCTTGTAGACGACCACATGATGCATGTAACCAATTATATGTAAGAATCAATATGTACTCCAGTCACCCGTGTATACTGTGGTTTCCAGCTGCACATACTCCCGTATAATTAGTATTATATTTACAGCTTGTCAGTGTCTAACGCGCTGGAAGTGTTTTTTTAAACTGTCTATCGCAAATACCAAAGACCTATTGAGTGTATTTATGGAAATGCTACTTACCCAGTCTTCTTTAACACTTTGTCCTCCATTGAATTCGAGTTTTCTAACGACCATTGCGTCTATCTTTACGATTCCCATCGAAACGACTATTGCAAGCTTGTTATATTGATTCACATTTATCTTGAAAATACTGATGCTATTGAACTGCCCAAGCTTCGTCATACCTGCAAAGGTTGCAGCCAATGTTACTGATGCTTTTATTATCCGGTTTGCAACAATGATCATAATTTATCTCTGTCTCGATTGGGATCGGGCGAAAAACATTCTCTTTCTATCATTCTTTCTCCTCCAACGTATATTACATCGAAACACAACATCATCACGACTGTCTGCCCAAGAGCCAGGAGTCATCTGGCTACCGCAATCACAAATTAGAGAAATTCTTAGTAATCTTATTTGTTGTAGTCACATAATTATAACGTCTTATTTAGATTCCGCCGTAAACCGATCGTACGTGAGCAATGGATACTGAAATAGGCGCCATGACTTTGAAATCGCTCAAACTCTTCTGATTGGCCCGCAACTTTGACGTGTTTAGAACATGTACATGTCTGTTGTCACATGTCATTGTATTGTCTAGTTCTGTGTCACGTTCACATGAGCTATTCTAGCTTCATGACAGACCAGTTTATTTATTCTTCTCGAGTCACATTTCGATCTCGTCAGTTATCCGCTTATAACGTAGATTGTTTTTATATGAGTGTATGTGCATATACCGCTGACCCTATTCATCACGTGTCTTTAGCTTGTTTCCGTCTGGCTATTTTTTAGAGTTACGCTTGACCGAATCAAATTGGCACTTGCTTTCTCCCATCTGCAAATCTACCTATTTTCTTAGACTGTCTACTTGGATCAATGAGTTTATGAAATGTACGTAACCAAAATTCATTCTCATATGTAGCTTATTTATTAACGTGAGTTTGGCCGATAATTATATATGAGGTTTGGTGGCGCTTATATTTCATTAACATCATTATACGATCAAACCGGAGTCAGATCAACGGAACACTCGATCATGTGTAGATATCCAAATATTACGTTTACTTAAGTGTTGAACACAATAAGTGAAGTCATAGTTTGGGCTGCCATGCAGTGTGGTTCGTACGTTTAGAGTGCTTTTAATAAATGGACGTAGTGTGTGACTTGAGAAATGTTTAATATGTGAACAATATTTACCATCTAGTGCTACGGCTTCTCTCATTAACTGACTTTGTTCCTTAGATTTTTCTTATTTCCTTGTTACAGTAGTCTCATTCTGCTTAAAATCGATGCTGCTTCATTACGTGGTATTTCTCTGCATTACTTCACATCATTACATATATTCATTCCATACCTGATTGTTATATCGCAATTATCTGACTTAGAAATGTAAATATATTTTGGATGTAAAGTGGCTTAGATAGACTGAGATGCGTACAGTTAAACTGCTTTAGTTTTGCGTATTTCGACATCAAACAGTTATCCGCCGATTTTTGATATATAATTCATTAAAAGGCTAATGTATCTAGCCGTAGTGTAAAATCTTAAAGATTTTTTGTCGAGACCTTTACTATCAGTCAGTCAGTCAGTCAGTTACTGACGAGGAGACCATTTTCCACGTTATTTATCATTTAACCAATACTATCATCATAACGTAGTCGAGTTATTATATCTAAGTAACATAAAAGAAATTCACTCCACAATGATCCAAAGTCCCACATACTTTTTATAATAAAGCTCATTAATTAATTTCGTTATAAGGTCGTTAACATTAATGATACAAGCTAGTACATTCGATTTATAGTTAGCATAGCTGGATTTAGAAAATGTGTGACATATATGAGTGCCTAGGTAAAACTGAGTAGTATCTCTATTGGATGTATACATCAATCAACAAATAACATGTGGGTAACGTTGATTCGTTCAGCTCCGTGCTCGTAGATGGTTATCTGTAAAGAGGTTTTCCTACGATACTGAACTTCGTCAAAAAAACTAAAATCAGAATTAGGAAGCCATTCCTGAAAAAAATATTTATCCAAGTAAATTACCAGAAATATCTATTTTATATGTTCCTGTTGAGCCACCTTACAAAATACGTCAAGTCATCTGAGAAAATAAACAATAAAGTGAGTATAGAGCAGAGTGTTTCAGAAAAAACGCATTGATATTTAACGCACTGATATTACAGATTACCAGGCACCAAATAAAATGTAATCTGCCGGAACATAATCCATGACCAAACAGAATTACTATATACTTTCATTAAAACCTCAGTCATTACACTTTTAACCATAGGAACTGTCTTATTTTCAAGTGCATATATCTTGCGAACATACAGTTAAGTCTTATCTTTTATCTTTCGTATCAGATACGGACAACATACTGTACACGACGGCTAAACTGAAGACAAATTTTGTTGTCGATATAAGTATTGAGATATTAAGTTATTAGCTTCAATCTAAGCACCAGAAGGAGAGGAAACAAAGGCAAGCTCTGGGGAAATGTTTTGGGAGAAGTCGGAGTGAATATGCAAAAGTGTGTCAAAATGTCATCCTTTTCCCAAGTCTGGGGTAAATAATAAGTATTTCTCCCAAAATTTACACTTACTTTTACTCAAAATTGACACGGAATTGAATGATCTTTCGAAGTATCAATAAGTGAAGTAATTAATTTTTAGCAATACTTTATGTCATAGAATACTGTGTACTTCGAAAGTTAGCTTTCAGTTCCCTGTGTCGAACAAACTAAATGAGCACTCGACAATAATATTATTATTACTATGTTGGTATCAATACGGTGATTTAAATGAGAAAAAATTATTGCCAGTTTTTTGTGACCTGAAAATAATTTAACGAAGTAGTAATAATACAGAACTTCAAAAAGGAAATCAAGGATCCAAATTCAAAGTTTGCAACACGGGATTGTATTGTATTATGATAAGTTTAAGCAAAATATAAAATATTTAGTTAAAGGGCAAGGGCACTGATTTTTCACCACAAATATCACAAGTTGACTGTCTGTTCGTATGTCTAAAATGAAGTCCGCGTTTATTTACAATTCTATTGGGTCATTTAAATTTTTCGAAAATCTGATTTCTATCACCTCCACCGAACGTAAATTCGAAATTATCTAAAGAGTCCTTAGTGACAGAAGAATTAATAGAATTAAAATTGGAATTATTTATCTGAAGTTTGATTAAATGTAACAACTTTGTGTAGATGTTAAAGCAAAACCAGTTTTGTTAATAGCACTTTTAACAGCGCTGACTATCTATAAACCTTGAGATTCGTAATATGTGTTTAATATTCTTCGGTGATGTTTATTTACCAGGTGTCTAGCTTGCAATTACGTGTCAAAATGATTGTGCTGGGAAACAGTCTAAATGATTGTAATGAGTATCTAAATGAATCTAATTCGTATTTTATCATTTAAAAATGATAAAGTTCAGCTGATAGATAGGACTTTGGATTCTATCCACACAAATAGTGGTATTAACTACTGGTGATATTGGTGTGTTCCTTGAAGCAATAACGTTTCACGTGTCAGTGGTTAGTTTTCGATGTTATTTTTTGTGATATCATGTATTCAAATAACCGAACAAAATCCCAATTAGTGTATCTCAATTCAGCTCAATTTAGGTCAATAAATCAACCCGCTGTTGGTAATACTACATGAATTTCTTGACGGTATGCAAAATGTTGGAATCTGCCACTCGGCAATTGAAAATAAGTACATGAAATATTGAGGTTTAAAGGCTTTTATTTAAACCTACATGCTTGGATCAGCTGTGACTATATAATCATACTAAACTATGTTTGCTTTATAGTTACTCTGTGACTAGGTTGAAAATTAAGACTTATTCTTACACACAGCTTTTAGGAAATTTTACATAAAATGTTTCTATGGTTCCACCCAAATATATCCCAGGTACCGAAATGTCTTTATTGAAGTTCAGATTTTTATAAAGAACTCTATCCTACTTCAGTCTGGGAGGTGGTGCTATATATCTATATCATGGCTCAGATTTTAATGCGTAAACCTATACTCAGTAAATAAGCTGTATTAAAGTATACTTACCGTAAGAGCTCGTAGACAATAAAATAACGAGTGATCCTTGAAATCCCGATTTCAGTGTGCAACCTGGTAAAATTATGTTCGTTTAAGGTCAGAAGGTGATGTTATATTATTATCCTATATTCACAAATGCATACTCACGAGCTTCGAGACCAATTTTGCCCAAATTGTAACAAATATACAGATACGTCATATTAGGTATTATACATAATCCGATTTTTAATTCCAACTTTTCCGTTTCGTAAAATTAACTGGCACCATTCGACTAACTATAAAATACTTATTTTGTTCCTTTTTGACTCAAACCAATGTTTATTCAGGTTGAACTCACTTCACATTAAAAAAATCTAAGCGAACAATCGTATCCATTCTTCTTGGGGCAAGTTTAAATGATTGGATGAGGTAAATTTATTAACATCCAATAAGACGCATTTAACAAAATCTGTTCTTTCACCACTATGTTGACTTTTAAACTTATTCGTTCTATATTCTTGTTTATTGTTTTGTAAAATTCAGGGTTTCTGAACAAAAGTGTTATTGTGGTGCGTCTACCTGCTCTGGTGTAATGGGGGCGACCAGCAAATATTTGCAAGAAAAAGTTCGCATGAAAGACACTACAATGGTATGTCATGGATTGTTAGTGCGTGCAATGTATCTTTTTGTGATTTCTTTTTATCTACTTTTATCGCCAACACTTCGTAACTGACAGCAGTTAAATTTGTCCTAAATGGCGAAAGAAATCCAGTTTGAAACAGTCAAAAATGCATAGTCAGTTTGGGATAAAATACTCATCGTTTTGTTACTGACTTCTGAGCAAAATTGAAAGCTAGACATTTTGCAGTAAAATATCAATAGGATGACTTAAGTTTTTCTCGTTTTCGACCTTATACTACCTGTTCTTAGGCGTCCTTTTTTTCAAGTATCAATTATCATGACATAAGTACACTTTTGAATTGAGATAAGGCTTAGCAAAATATTCTTACTGCTACTCAATGTGTCATAATTCGAACCACAGTTACCAGTGACTTAGGTTTTGAGCGATTAAGTAGTTATATGATAATCTTGCAACCGTAGCTTCAGGTTAGGATTTGTAAGTTAGATACTACTCCTTCGGACTAACAAAAATACACAAAAAACTAACGGGCAATTTTCCAGTGCTACTCAAGGGGGTAATATGACAAAAATAACTCTATGTTTTGTTGCAGCACTTGCGTGTGTCTTGCATGATTCTATACTATTATCTTCATCATAAGTTCAGTAAGTAATTTAGCGTCTCAAGCGATTTATATTTTTATCTTGTCGATGTTTCGTCAAAACCAGTTGTATCATTCACGTGGGTAACTAAATCGAATGTTTCATTGGGCTGAGTTATTGCTGAGTTAATTTCTTGTCATCATTTAGTGCTTTTATGAATCATATCTTGGATACATCTAATGAAAGATCCCACATAATGTATCTTCACTGATCAAGTTTACCAAGTATCGAGTTACGAAAACCTGCACCCGGCTGATCTTCCCCACTCCGTTAACATGAGTCTGCGTGTTTGAATTTGCCGTAAGAAATATAGGTCGTAACAACCTGCCAGTTATATATATATATATATATATATATATATATATATATATATATATACGATCAAGGAGCCGATTGAATTCTAGAACAATGCTGTCTTAATATCTATCTTCCAAAATATGGAACAAAATATTGGTAACTGAAGACAAATTTCTCATAAAAGAAGTTTTGGTAAGAAGTTGGAAAACAAGCTGAGGTTTGCTTACATCTTGCATGGATTGGTCGTGTTTATCTTTCCATAAGTCCCCGAACACTTTCACATGTGTTGCTGGTCAATAGTAAATGTCTTTAATCTTGTTAGTACTACTGTAAAACAAGGCAATGAACAAAAGGGATTTTTATTGTAAGAAATTACACTGTATGTATGCATAACCTCTGGTCATCCATCTGCATCTTGCGGTGTGTTCTTCAACCCGAACTGTCTTCTCTCCTGGTCATCAAGTGTTCTGCCTACACCGTGATTTTGGTGCACTGAAACTCTTCTCTCCGTCTGACGACTGTGATAACTTCGACACCACGTTCCACTACACACTATGTACGAGTAGTCTTGTGAATTGCTTCCATCACACTACCATCGACCAGTTGACTTAAACTATGCAGTGAATTCACTGGCTAAATAGGTTTCTGTTCGATATATTTGCTAACATCTTCAAAAGCTTGTACAAAAGCAAGTAGGATAGGATTAGACTATCCTGAGTACCTCATCCATTCTATTACTTTAGGTTCCTTTAATGTTGCTGCAGGAAACAACATGCTCAGTTCCCAAATTATTTACCACAAAGATCAGTTAGTTGCTTATAGCATTCGACTTCCAATCCCTAATTCACTGGTCCGAATCCCGTTCTATCTCCGGTTTGTGCACCCAAATTGAATAATTATCCTCACAAAGAGTATGGCCTATAGCCTAGTACACGGATTTTTTATTTAGTTAAATTAATTGCATTATTTACAAGAATATCAAATAAAAAGTTGAGAATTAATTTTCAACTGCTTACGTGACGTGATTTGGATTTGGAAATCGTTTTATCCCATTCTACTAATTGTAGTGGATCTATCACAGTTGACATATTCCTTTGCTAAATTCATTTTACCTCTAGGTTGAAAGACGCATTCTCCAACTCCTTCAATTAGATTCGTTCAGAAATGCAGACGATATAACTCTGTTATTACAAGTTATGGTTCAAGAATGCCTTACAAGGTACACTCGACTGCAGCTTCTCAGCCGTCTGATCAAAACAGAAAACGATGCTTGTCTTAAACTTTTTCGACAGTATAATGGTCTCGATATGTTGGCGGCCTTTATGTGTGATGCAGCGCCGAAAGATTGGGAACTCAAAAAGCAGGTATATGGAAAAATTGTTTTTCTTTGTGCGAAATGTTTTGCTAAACTACTGAGGTATCTCTTTGTGTCTTAAAACTTTTCCGTTTCATACCTACACATGGTAATTTCCAGTGTGGTGGTTAATTTTGAATTCACTTAGTTCATATAAATAACAAATTTGCTTGTATTTCGGTGTGTGCTACTTATGTCGACAAATATAAGCAGTATGTAACACCAGTTGGAAGCGAAAAACCTGGCAGCAGAAGGCTGAGAAGATCGAGTTGAAGAGAATAGAAGGGAAAGTAGAAAGGAATTGTGGGCTGAAAGAATCATACATAATTTGAAGTATAAATGATGAAAATTTTCAAGTGAAGTATTTAGTGTATGGTTCTAATATTTTACCAAGAGATTCTGCATTTAAATACAGTCGGTTGTCCCCACCTATGTTCTCGTTCATTATAATATGTGCATATGCGCTACTTTCACATGCATTTCGCTTATTATCACTTTATTTGCTTGCGCTTCGATATATTTTATACGTTAACAAAATCAAAACCTCATGTATGTTTGCAAATCTATTTCTTTCTAGATATTAGTTTGCTTGAAACACATCCCTGTTTCAGAGCAAAAACAGGTACAGTCGAATTCACGCCTTATGGAAATAGTAGCACAGTGGACTTCCAATCCTCACCACTGTCGGGCACGTAGTATTCCTCCCGAGTCGTGGAAGAGTGCTGATGTACATATAGCAGGTAAAGTTGCTCAAACTGCTGAACTTTGCTTTTAGATACTTCAAATGTTACTTTGGTTAGATTTTCCACTGATGAACTCCCTATGGAGTCGAATTTCGACTCTGATGAAACAAAATCACGTATGTTGGATGATTAAATTGGCAATTTATTTGTTAAAAAGTTCATTTTCATATTTTATCTAAGTGGAAATAATATATTTGAACCCATAGTTTTATAATCTGTTCATATCAAACAGTAAAAAGGACAGATTGTCATATTTTGTTTCAGCTTACCACCATTTTCTGTTCTTCAGAGAGATCAACACAAGAATATCACGAAAAACCAAAAAACAAATAGTAAAATGATTTCCAGTTTAACCAGTTGTTTGCACAATTTACAACAGTACCCAGTTCACAGACCAAGTCTATATTGAGTTCTCCTCAACCAGCAGTGGCTGGCCACTTAGTGATAGCTAGTAGTTCGGCATATGTTTCTCATGATCACCCATATTCCCCCTGTCAGTTAGATAGCTTTTGGTTATGAATTATATCGCTTACCGATCGTATTAGGTTTATTAATTTGATGATAACAAATACCATACTCAAAAACTAATAATTCTTGCTATTACAGATGCGAACTTTAACATAAGATTTCTAACGATCCTTTACGAACATATTATTCTCAACTAACATTCCGTCTGTTAAAATACAAACTATGGTGAATTTGGTCTTTCTTTTCATCAGGATTCCGAAGACATTCACAAAGCGCTTTTGCGTTTGCTTCAGAATGTCCAGTAGGAGAATATATTTTTGGTCTTTAGATTTGGCGGCCTGTCGGTTTATTCATGCCATTCTAACTGAACACTTGATGAGTAGGGTGAAATAGATGCCATAATATTAAAACGAAGAACGAATTGTGAATGAAGTTACAGATGTATTTATGTTGTACAACCTGTATAGTTGTACTTTTAGTAGTGCTAATGAAATTAATATTGCTCTTTGTGAAAGTCAAGATTTTGAAACATTTCCGTGTAGTTCTATAATATTGACGCTTTAAAAACACCCTTACTTAGGGTTATAGAGATTTTCGATTGTAATGTAAATAGGAATTACTTTTCACGTATTTTATCTAAACTCGGTGTTTATCACTGAGATCCGTCCTTCTTCCAGCTATTACTTTGTTCCGTTCCTTCTCGTCCAATGTTTTGTTTCACGTTGAAACTTGATACAAATTAATTGCAGATTGTATTTTCTCTTAAATTTAGGACACTTATTATGGTACTTCATCGGACATCATATTTCTCATGTTAATCTTCACTACACACTATTCTCACAAACTCTTTATTGCTATGGTAAATCGATGTATATACTCTCCTTTGTTTAACTGACTAATTACTCATCAATATGAGGATGCTAACTCTATTTTCCCGTAATTAAACGCTTGTTACTAACTCCATTGACGCCTCATGTATCTCAGATTACTTCCATATTTGAACGCAAACAGTAGGGGAAAGGCGCAAGATATCATTTAAAGCTTTACTTCAATGGTTAATCTATTCACAGGAAGTGGGATTTATTCATTGATTTTCATAACCATATAAGTAATATTCCAAACGAGATGTCACGTAGTTCTTTATTTTTCTAGATGTCTTCAACATCTATTTATTGCTGGATGGACAAAACGTTTTAAACCTTTTCCGGCTAACACTATAAACGGATATTTATTAACTTTTAACACTAATGAATTATTATCGTTGAATACACTAAAACGTTTGTTTAAAATACTTGGAATAAACCCTGGTCAGAGACTGTCCACTACACCAAAGGTTTGAATATTGGATTCAGTTTTCATTGCTTGTTTGCTAACTAACTTGACATATGCAGCTCATTTATGTATAAATGTTGGGAATTCGATACATCATTTTCAAAGGTTTAGGAACTTTTGATGTCATAATGTATCATGCGCAGCTTCGGTCTTACTAATTATGGAAGCTGTTCACTTGTGTTTTTTCTATTGTTTCTCTTAATATTGAAAATTTTTTCTATATTCTGTGGCTGTTTCTCATAAAAATCTAAGTGCAAAAATTCACCATAATGTAATTTCTTGTGAGATGATCTACTTTCATTCTAAGATTTACAATATTTACTTTTCATGTTTCAGTTTCTAAGAGTACCAAGGACAATGAATCATCTTCCATACAAACAGGTGATAAGAATAGTGATTTTGCTGCATCACCTTCGAGTTCCGACTCATTTAGTTCTTCCTTGAAGGAGAATGCATCATGTGTGTTGCATGCTTCGACACTCCCAGTTTACGAAGAAGGATTTAACGCTATCACTCAAACTTCGGATTGTGATATGTCCCCCGTAACTGTTGTGGATGATGATAATGGTGAAATTGAAATCGGATATGCAGCCGACAACAACGAAATAAATATGGATACTGAAGAATGTAAAGCTAAGACGAATGAGGAATGGATAGAAGAGATCAAGGCTTTGGCTTGTAAACTGCTTGAAAAATGGTCTAAATTACCGGTAAGTTCTTCACAATCTATAGGATTTACTGGTTATATATTTTATTATCATCATTTACTTCGAACTTGTTTTTATTATAATGCCATTTATATGTTTCTGTGTGTTATGATAGAAGGAAAACTACCGGATACCGCGATTGGAGCGTCAAGAGACCGAGAAAATGCTTCATATATCAAATCCAATTGGTTCTTCTCTTATCTCTTGGGGATCGGAATACAAAGGTCGGTACTGTTTGGAACTAAATGTTTCTGTTCATTTCATAGAACTATTAAAAACTTAAGTTGCTTTTTATGTAAAACCATAGTTAAGGATTGCTTAGACCGAAAAAAGTTTTGATATAGGGGCTTTATGAAGACGTACATTTTCATGGTTTGCATCACAGACCGATTTTAGATTACTATTAAGAACGAGAAAGCACTGGACAACTGCTTCGTCCTAGTTTGGGATTCTTCAGCATTGCACATTCACAACAATCATAACTACACATGACTGCTTATTGTAATGCTTTACTTTTTCTTTGTGTGAATATCAGATTTCTAAGAATGTGTAGGTAAAAACGATTCAAATAACAATATCGAAAGGAGGTTTAAATGAAATGTTAGCTGAGTTTATGATAGCTGTAGACTCGTAAACAAATGTGTGATTCAATAAACAATCTGAAATTCGATTACACCGTATTTTAACATTGATCATAAAGTTATAACAACTAAATATTGTTTCCTTAATTGGTCAGTTATTTTTATTGTTTGGTTTATCAGATGAACAAGCAATATCCAATAAATCTTGGACTCACAATAGTAACAGTAAATTCCAGTCAAATAAAACGTAAGTTACCTATGCGTTTTCCCATATTAAATAATTCTAGGGATTTTTTACTCTTTATAAATATACCCAGGGTTTCCAGAACAGCGACAGGATACCAACTGTTTGCCGTTCGAATCAGTCAGTAAAGCATTTAAATTTCATTAAACCTACTATCACTCTTTTATCTTAACTAGTCCTTGCTGGATTGTTGTTGTTTGAGGAAGATTTACGTCTTCAAATGTACCACTTCCGATCAGTGGGTATTATACAGTGTTTCTTATTTTATACTTTATGGTTTCTTAAAAAGCTTCCTGTCGAAATAAGGTACACATGATTTTATACTATCTATCCCGATTTCATGAAATAATGAGCACTTTCTGCAATACTATAATTAGTTCCCTGTTTTTGTTCTTTCTCAAGTCTGCGTGACAAACTGGTTTCATCTTTCATTCGAGAGCAGAATGGTCCAAAAGCATCCAACAGTTCGTCATGTTTGTCCAAAGCTGAGAGACGTATGCTTTTCGAAGCTCAAGTTAAAGCTAATGAAAATCAATGTTCATCTGAAAATTCTGTTCCTACATCGGATGATTTTGTGCAGACAAATCCATCTAATGACGAAAAGGATACAGATCATCTTCGTCAGGTAATTTTTTTTGCTTGTTTCTTACCTTTATTTACTTATGATTCCATTTTTCTACAACATTTTATCAAATCCAAATATATTGTTTGTAACAGCCAACAATTAATTTCCTGATCAATATTAATTTATCATTTTGTTTTGTTTAATCCTATCGTATTTTAGTATTACTTTTCCAGTCAATATGATGGCTGCTCCCAAACTTCTGTGATAAAATCAAAATCTAAAATTTGTTTTTTCTAGAATACTACCATGAAATGTTCATTACTCTTAGTCTTATGGTCTTCACATAGTGTCTGATCAGTTGATGGCAAATTTACGAACATAAAACGTTATGTCTCGAGACCGCGGACTGATATCACATGCCAAGTCATCAGTCAGATTCCTAATTCTCGTTTTTGTCTGTTTCGTTCCTACCACTTCTTGTACAGCTTATTGTCTTCGACTTGATCAGCTACATACCTCACGAGCAATTTTGATCGTGAACTGATACAACTAACTTCCTATTGGTCCGCATCTCGTAAACTTCTCTCTTTACCTTCCTTAAGTCCAAAAGTCAGCAAACAGCTTCTACTTTATATGCTTCAAACAAACGTAGTTTATATACGGACATACCAGCCGCATCAAGTCATAAAATGAAAAAGTATACATAAACGGGCGAAAAGCGGCTATGAATAGGGTAAATGTAAGTAATAGAATGTCAACAAATTTTGAAGGCATGATAGTAGTTAATGCGTTAACCGAAAACTTATCATCAACAGAGTACATAAAGATAGTAACCCAGTTGCTTACTAATCAAACAACAAAATTATAATTAAAAATAATCCGTAAATTAGTACTAAAAATATTCACTTTATTATAATATTAAAAAATTATCTCATACATCGACTCTCTTGTGAACGAGACAACTCAGAGTGATATTTCTAGAATATTAAATGATTTCGTGGCATTTGATTTTCACTTCACAACTATAAACATTTAGGGTTAGATACATTGTGTTATGTCAATAAAATTTTAGTGATAAAATTATAGGCCGTAAATAAACCATGCTAAGAAATAGCAAATCACAAACCAGTAATATTTGGTTGATTCTCTTTGCATCATTTCACGTTCGTGTTATTTAGTATTCGTTCTTTTCATTGTTTCAGCTATTACTCTGTGCACTTTTAAGTGAGTGCGGTCGAAACGATACTGCCCTTTCAAATCTTTTATCTAACATAGCTGTAGAATTGAAAAGCATGCCTGTTGTTTCTACTTTGTTACAAGCCTTACCTCGTATGTTGACTTTGATGTCCAGTTCCAACGATTCAGATTTGGTGAGTTATCCTCTAAATATTTCTTGTTGTGTAACGTTAGTTCCATTAAACAGATTCAGAGAACCAAATCGATCATATTTGCATCAATAAAAAATTCAGAAGATCAATGTAAAACTGAAGTTAAATAAGCAATGGACAACTGGAGAAACGAAATTGCGAAGGTCCAATACAACCTTCCTTCGAAATACTGAAAAAAAATCAACGGATTCAAGATAACTCTCAACAATAGGTTCCAAGCCTTACATGATCTACTGAAGGAGGAAGAAACTACTATGAAGGACAACTGGAAAGAAATCAAAGAAGCATTAACTTCAACGTGTCAGGAGGTTCTGGGCTGCAAGAAGCATCATCATAAGGAATGGATCTCTATAGAAACACTGGACAAGATCAAAGAAAGGAAAAACAAGAAAACGGCATTTAACAACAGTCGAGCACGAGCAGAGAAAGTCAAAGCACACGCGGAATACACAGAAGCAAACAAACAAGTGAGCAGGAGCATTAGAGCCGACAAGCAGAAATATGTGGGAGACCTAGCAACGACAGCTAAAAAGGTGCAAGAGATGGAAGTATGAAACAAATATATGACACAACAAAAAAGCTGGCAGAGAAATATTGCAATCTAGAAAGACCGGTCAAGGAAAAAGAAGGGAAGCTAATTACTGGAATTCGAGAACAGAAGAAAAGATGGGTAGAACACTTTCACGAACTCTTGAATACTTCAGGTCCACTGAATCCACCGGACATCGAAGCAACACACACAGACCTTCCTATAGATGTCACTCCGTCAACGATCGAATAAAGCAGGATGGTCATCAAACAAATCAAAATTGAGAAGAGAACAGGACCAGACAACATACCAGCTGAAGCACTGAATTCAAGCACAGAAGTAACTGCAAAGATGCCTCATATTCTATTCAGAAAGATTTGGAAGAAGAACAAGTGCCAACAGACTAGAAAGAAGGATACCTCACCAAGATACCAGAGAAAGTAGATCTGAACAAGTGTGAGAACTACAAACGCATTACACTACTATCAGTACCAGTAAAAGTTTCAACAGGGTTCTGTTCAGTTGAATGAAAAACTCAGTAGACATCCAACAGCGAGATCAACAGGCCAAATTTTGTAAGGACCAATCATTCACAGACCAAATAGCAGCAATATGGATCATTTTTGTGCAATCTGTAGAATGGGATTCGCCACTATAGATCAGATTTCTTGACGGCGATGGGGGAACCTTTTGAAACCACCCTTGACACTAGAGGAAGAGTAGCTTAGAAGATCGTCAACATCATATGGAATTCATACGATGGGCTGTATTGCAAAGTCGTGCATGAAGGACAACTGGTAGATGCATTCCAAGTGAGGAGCGGTGTCAGACAAGGCTGCTTATTCTCGCGCTTTCTTTCTTCTTGTGGTTGACTGACTGGATTATGAGGACCTACATATCTCAGGAGAAGCACGTAATACAATGGACAGTTTAGATGCAAATAGACAATTTGGACTTCGCAGATGATTCAGGTCTTCTATGTCACACGGCAACAGATGTAGATGAAGACGGCCAATGTTACAGCAACGTCTACAGTAGTGAACCTCAACGCAGAAGAGGAATGCCAATGAACACATTACGTCGGGAAATAGAAGCATATATGTAAAGGATGAATAACGATTGGAAAGAGCTGTAAGGTATTGCCCAGGACAGGGTTAGATGAAGAGTTCTAATGGGCTGCCTATGATCCTCAACGAAGCGTAACAGGCGAAAATAAGTAAATATATCAAACCAGACTTTATTGTAATGCACCATGCAAACTCCTAATTAGCTGTTGAGTTTACTACGATTGGAGTAGTTGAATGCCTAGACTACATGCATTGATTGATACTGAAGACATAAATTCATAAAGAGACACTTGAAGCGTGCACAAATTAATTGAAAGATTTTCGCTCTTAATCATACTAGTAAATAAGAAAGGATTAAGCGAAAGAGGCGTCTCAAACATCCTACTCAGTATAACGACTTCCCTCTAAGTCAGTCCGAAGCGTGGCTCTGATACATATCACGGCGGCACGGGAAAAATACACCAACAAAACTAACAAGAGAGTATCATAAGACCACCGAAAACAACCGTATCATTGGTCACCATTATACACACTTTATGCGACACAGACACAAACGAGCAAATGAGGAGGCATGAACTTGGCACATATACCCCATCGCTATTAACAAAAAGGACCAGCTGATGGCTGTTCAGTCGGAAAATAGCTCCTTTAACACCTAAAACCCTGAATAAAGATCTCAGATAAAGTTTGATGATTTATCTGATGTTGTAGTGTTGAGGGTAGCTTATTGGAAATTCAGTAAGCTTTTGATAAAAAAACAGTGGGACAAATATTTTACAGTGGACGGAATAAACACCACTCCAACAGTACAGTGTTGCAGTACAAGAGGCGTAGAGCATGTGGTGTTTGAATTAATTAATGATTCTTTTGTACTTGTTGAATGCTAGTTCTCGAATTCTAAATACAATACATTCGTTCGTGCTTGTGTCGTAATTCTTGATTCCATTGCGTTAATTCTGGGGTTCTGTTATAACCCAGTCAAGATTAAGTGACAGGTGACTTCCGAGGACTGTTAATAGACTAATATTCTATAAATATTCTTATTGTATAATTGTCCAATAATTATCATGTTAAGTCTAATGGTGTCCTTAGAATTTAAATGGACATTTCCTATTGGCCAATATTTATTTCACTTGTCAAATATTGTTTTCTATTTTATGGTACGATGTGGTTTGTTTGATTAGTATATAAACAGAGTATGTATGTAATAAACGATTCGATTCATATTACAGAAGCTGGTATTGTGTTCTGGACTCAAACGGAAGGGCTAGGAGGACATAGGACCAATAAGGACGCTAAACTGCTCATACCGGTTGAACGTGATTGGTTTGGCATAGTGCGAAATTGTATAAGTCGTATTCTGAATGGTCGATAAGTCGCGTGATAGAAAAGCCAGACATCAAGGTCATAACAGATTCAAAGTTGATACGATAATTCAAATTCTTTTCAAATATTATATTTGCGTCGCGATGGAGCCTACGATGGAAAAGTTAGATAATCATTCAACTTCTGAAGCTTTTGAAAATTATCTTGAACGGTTCTAAATCTGGGCTATGACCAAGGAAGATGCTGAGGATTTTAATATTGTGGTACATTTCCTCATATTCATCGGAAAAGAAGCATATAGCTTATTAAGAACTCTGGCTATGCCGGGAAAGCCTATCTCGCTTCCTTATACAACTCTCAAGGAACTGTTGCTAGACTTTGTTTAGTATACAAATTTTGAACGCAATAAAGGAAGATTTTGTAAAGTGATTCATGAGGATATAAAAAATTCCACCACATTACGTCATCCCAACCTAGTGCATACTCAAGGCTATGCAGATAATTCATTGAGGAGTTGCAATGCATTTCACAAAGATGGGCACAAGTTTGGTCAATGTTTGTCCTGTGGCAAGTTCCACTCTTTTAACTCATGTAAATTTCGTAATCCTGAGTGCTTTAAATGTGGTGATATTGGACATATTCAGTCAGTTTGTAATACTAATGTTCATCTTGCTGCAACTAATATTCAGTCTTGTAATTCTGATTCTATTAAGTTGAGTATTTATAATGATCATTTATCTTTATCAATGATTTCAAAAGACAGTGTAGAGTCATATAGCAGTTCAGAGTTAAGTGAAACTCAGAATCCTTGTGAGACAACAGTTTCTAATCAATCAGCTTATCAGATTTCTCATGTTATTGTACAAGATATGGTTTTTCCTATTAGTTCACTTATTTCTGACGAAATTCCTTGCAAATCTGAATGAACCTAGTCATGATAAAAAACCTGAGGCAGTCTTGATAGATGCTGATTTTTCTAATGATCTTTTACTCTGCAATGAGATTCTTAATAAATTTGAGGAAACTATTTATAATACTTTGAATTGTTCAAATTATAGCACGAACTAAGAGTCCCAGAAATAACGCAATTGAATTAAGAAGACACAAGCACAAACGGATGTATTGTATTTGGAATTCGAAATCAAGCATTCAACAAGTACCAAGGTATCATTGGTTCATTCAAAAACCACATCTACCACAGCCTAAATTGGAATATAATTGTCTGTTATAGGTTGTACGTCTTCTTCTTAAGTTTATCCTGAGTCTGTCCGACATTGTATTGGATAAGGATTCTGTATTATCTAGAATATGCTCATTAGCATTAGAATTAACAATCGAAATTGAAACTGACTCACCTGGTTCCTGAAATTGTATTTGATCTACATGTCGACTGTGTGTACTTAAGTCATCGATGTCTATAATTCGCACCATCGATTTTCCGACATTCTTCAGAACAATACCCGTAGATGGTCGAAGATCATTTCCTCGATACTATGTAACTTCTGCAGACTCCAAACATCTCATATTCGACCGAAGAATTCTTCCTTTCAATAGCTTCGCTGGAGTCTCCTTCGTCACCGAATGTTTGGCATTTCTATATTTCAATACAAAGGTATCTACTCCCCTCTCCAGCTCATTAAATGTTGAGCGGGCTATAGAATCAATAGCAGTCTTTAATGTCCTAACAAAATTCTCTGCCTGACCATTAGAACACGGATGTCTTGGAGCAGTAAATAGATGTTTGCACCCTATACCGTTCAACCAGGTAGTGACTGTATCTGCAGCAAAATGTGAGCCATTATCAGTCACCAACACCATGGGAACCCCTTCTCGACTAAACACCTATCTTAATGCATGTATTGTGAGATCAGAATTTGGTGAAGTTGTAAAAAAACTTCAGGCCATTTTGAAAAAGAATCAATGACTACTAGTGCGTAGTATTTACCAAGAAATGGTCCACAATAGCCGGCATGAATCCTCTGCCAGGCCTCAGACTATAATGGCCATGGCACCCACTTCGAAGGATGATTTTTCAACTGATGACATTTCTCACAGTTGTTTGCCGTACGACATATATCTGCATTTATCGCTGGCCACCAGCATGTGAGCCTTGCCATGGACTTCATTCTCTCAGCAACTAAATGACCACTATGGAGATCTTCAAGAACAGATTTATGCAATGAAGGAGGAATGACAACACGATCATTTAAACACAGAATACCATCAGGAGTAGTAGATAGCTCAACCCGCTTTGAAAAATAGATAGGAAATCTACGTTTCAAATTAGCATTTCAACCTTTTCTTATAGCACTGAGTATACATCCAAAATATCTACGCGTTTCTCTAATGAGATCTGAACGTCTCACTGGTAAAGGTTGCATTAACAAACAATCCGAAGTATTAATAGGTTTATCTTGTAATGACTGTCGAGAAATGTAATCAACATGTTGAATCTGTTTGGCACTTCTGTGCTGAACCGTATAGTCAAATGCACTCAAAGCAATACTCCATCGCTGAACCATAGCTGCTGAGGAACGTGCTAAGGATTTTTCGGGATGATAAATAAACTTTAAAGCTTCATGATCAGTAACCATAGTGAATTTCTTTCCGAATAAATATTTATGAAGTCTTTTAACAGCCCAAAACACAGCTAATGCTTCTCGCTGAGTCTGTGAATAACCTTGTTCAGTAACAGTAAGTTTGTGTGAAACACAAATAACTGGTCTACCTTCCTGTTCCAAAACTGCACCAATTCTCACAGGTGATGCATCAGCAAGAAGCACAGAATGTACATTAGGGGATTACGTTCGAAGAACAGCATCACTTTGAAGAAACTTCAGCAGACTTCGTAAGCATGACTCTTGTTCCTCACTCCATTTGAATGAATTGGATGTCAAAATATTAAATAAACAATTTGCACGACAAGAAAAA